AACAACACCGTTTCACGGGCTTTAATCTTCATGCTTGGGAAGCGGCTGCTTGTCGATACTAGGCGTGTCCGTGTCAAATTTTAACCACCCGGCGTCAATTAGGCCTTGGACTCGAAGCTTTAAGGCCTTACATCACTCCACAGAATGTCCTGGGGAGCCAGAGTGATAATCGCAACGCTCCTCGGGATTGTACGATGAAGGGAAAGGGGAACTAAATTGCTTTGATGGCAGGAGTCGTACCAGCATGGAAGCCTCTAAGAGTTGAGGTAACAGTGTCGCGTAAGTGGTGGGAATTTTATCCACCATCTTCTCTTTCCATGACTCGGTCTGTGTCGCGCCTCGACTCTTTGGAGGGGTGGTGGCTATGGTGACTGCATTATCCCATCCTCCTTCTTCTTTCCGTAGGACTTCTTGTAGTCATAACTCCATGGAGCCTTTCCTATTTTACTGCTCTTCAAACCCTGCTCCACCCTTTCGCCTATGGTGACTATGTCGGCAAAAAGGGGCGAGGTATTCCTTATCATCTTATCATAATAGGGGCCAGTTAAAGAGTTGATGAACAAGGTCACCATCTCCTTATTAGAAAGCGAAGGCTCTACTTGTACGGCCAACTCCCTCCACCTCTGTGCATAAGCTTTGAAAGGTTCATCCCCCTTCTTGCTTAACCCTTGCAAATCAGACCTGTCGGGGATGAGATCAATATTGTACTTGTATCGTTGCAAGAAAGTGTCAGCGAGCTGCTTCCATGTCTGGATCCTTCCTCCCTCCAGCTGCATGTACCAATTGAGGGCCACATCCAATAAGCTCTCCTAAAAGTAGAGTATCAGGAGCTTCTCATTGTCCACATGGGCGACCATCTTTCGGCAGTCCATCATCAGATGCATTTTGGGGCAGCTGGATCCCGTATACTTTTGAAAGTCAGGACTTTTGAACTTGGGCAGGAATTGGATATCCTGTACCAAGTACATTTTAGCAACCTCCTAAATGTCAAAGCTATGACCTTCCACTGCTCTTAACCTCTCTTCCAAAGCATTTAGGTGATCCTTGGACGCGTCTCCTACGTGACTAGCGCTGTAGTCATCATGTTGGAGCTTGCTCATGGTTTCGCACATTCGAGCCATTTTCTCCTTAAGCTGCCTAAGCTCTTCATTCAGCTCGCGGTTCCTTTCCATTAGTGCCTCCATAGCTTGTCTTTTTTGGGTCCTCGTGAGTACGGAGTGTTGAGAAGCCACCTTCAAGGGATAACAATGGATTTCTATTATGCTTGTTTATAGATCTATTGAAGGAGATTACTAACAGGATGACGCTTGCCCTTATGAAGGTAGGTGTCTCTTCTGTTAATATCTTACGATATGACAAAGGTTACACCGATCCTTAGAAGGTCGGTCATCATCGATTCCCCTTTTCGTAATATTTTACGATATGACAAAGGTTGCACTGATTTTTGTCGAGTACTCCTACCAGTTCTAATATATGTATAGCATATAAGTGCCTCACTATATTTTTGTTTATATTTTTAGACAAAAGAAAGGGATTATGACAAAATGCAGACAAACTTTTTTTTTATACAAATAATTATGCAACAATCATATGCTCAAACAATTATACATCCATGAGCGGTATAAATCCATGGTCTGTGGTCCCTGTCGAGAAAAGTGCATTGTATAGGACGGTTCTAATCTCACTAGTCTTAAGGCCCCCAAGGTGCCCCCATTATAGGGACCCAGTATCTCTGTCGCCCTCACCTGGCAAACTTAAGGTTTGTCGTAGTATTTCAGGCTAGAGTAACCGGTTATCACCTTGAGTGTGATTTCTGACAAGGCTCGCAGGCTCCAAGGCCAAACCTGGGTCGGTCGTACGTCAACCACTCCCTATGTTTATTACCCTCATGCCCCCGGGTGTAGGGGGAATTGTTGTGTGCAAAGGATTGTGTACAATTTTATTCAAACAAATGCAGAATTTAAACAGGCAAACAGATATGAAAGAAAAAAAAATACACCAAACAAAGTAAAGGAAAAAAATATTTAAATTATTATTTTTTATAATGCTAATTTCATCATTTATATGGGCCTGACCCTCTTGAAACGTCCCTAGTGGAGTCGTCATCTTTCGCAACCCGAATTTTACCGATCTCGCGACCTATGGTTTAGACATCCTTTTAATAGTCTCATCAATTAAGGAATGCCTGGATGCCAGACTAATCCTTAATTAATGGTTTTAAAAAATGAGTTCATGGAGTCACCACCAATGTTTTACTCAAAACATTGGAAAAAGAAAAGATTTTTAAAAAAAAATCCAATAATGACCTTGATAACCAAAATTGGGTTCGGGGGTCGGTTACGTGTAGGGAAGGTATTAAGCACCCCTACAACGCCCTTAATTGGTACCCTATGGTGAAGTTAGCATTATAAATGATAATAATATAAATATTAAATCCCCTTTTATTAATAATTATTTACATGCTTGAAATTTAAATTATACGATTAATCCAAAAATGTCTACATGATTATTTTTATTATAACAATATTTATTATAGAGAAAAAAAGGAGAAAGAGATTAACTGAAATACCTCTTGAATGAGCTCTATTGAATCTTCAAAACAGGAAGATTTTAGGTGCTTTGTGGCAACCTTTCACACTACAATGCCTCACAAAATCTCAAGAAATACAAAAGAGAGGGGGAAAGAGAAAAAGAGAGAAATTTCGTATTCTAAGGAGTCTGGACGAAATTTTGGAGTCCTGAAAACTGTGCCCAAGCTGTCTATTTATAGACTTCAAAAAGTGTCCAAAACGGCCCGTTCCAAAATCGGAACGGCCCATTCTGGATATGACCATTCTGTGTAAATTTTATAACTGGAACGACCCATTTTGAAACAAGAACGGCCCATTCCAGTGATGAGAATAACACAATGTTGGTTAGGTTGGAAGGACCGTTCCAAAGAAGGGTTTTTAGGCCTTTTTCTTAACTTGGAACGGCCTGTTCCAGTAAAGGTTTTAACCCACTTTTTATAAGCTTGGAACGGCCCGTTCCAATTTAGGAACGACCCGTTCCAATTTAGGGTTTTTGGCCCTTTTAGAAACTTGGAACGGCCCGTTCCAAATTGGGAACGACCCGTTCCAGTCTTCTAAAATCAGTTTGTTTGGGCTTTTGGGCCTTCTAAAGTCCTGTCTTATTGTTTGCATGCTTCGGGAGCTCCTCCCCTCCATAACAGAGGTCCATTTCCTTGTTTGTATGCCCCCAGACGAAATTGGGTGTCTACACTACTTTCCAGCCTATCCCTACTCTGCTCCCAAACATAGTATGATCATCAGAGTCCAAACCACATGGAAACATGCAAGGGTAAGCTAGTGAAAATAACCAACACATATGTATATATATAAACAAACTTCAACTTAACAGCACCATCATCATTCTCAACAGGTTCAACATACAACACATAACAACACACAACTCAACCACAGCTACACAACACACTGCACATATACAACTCATATCAACATCAAATCAACACAACAACAGCTTATGTTTCATCACGCATTTCAACTCAAAGATCTCCTACAACATGGGTGAGCAGTTTAAGTGGCTAGGTCCTATCGAACCGACAGCAAAGAACCTTTTTGGGCTTGTTAGGTAAACAACAAATTTGGATGCCAATCCACAGCATGATAACAATTTCACAGACTTTGCCACTTAAACAAGGAAGTATAGTACTATGTCAGGATAGAACAACTAGGTTTAGGCCTACCATGGCATTAGCTAGCTCAACTAAGCCATCTATGGGATTAGCCTATCGACTATCCTCCAAATACTACAACCTTTCAATACTCGATTAGGAACTAAGTTCACGACTTCATATTTTACTCAAATTGGCCGCTTGTAATCGGTATAGCTCAACCTGGCCCCTATACCGTGGTCGCTTTGTACACGTGTGCCTCGACCTTGCCCATACACGGGACCAACTAAGTCCTAGAGGAGAACAGCACAACATCCACTCCAAGGGATAACTTGTTTTCAACAAATTGGGCTCTCTGAGCACCACAACTATCTCAATCCACACAATGGGATGAGCAACTTCAAAAACATCTCCCCTAGTCTTAGTGATCAACAACTCATCATCACAGCTTAATCAGCTTACAACTCAACAGCACAGCTCAGTTCAACAACTTGAACAACATGATCAATTCAACAGCTTAACAACTTCTCAACAATGTTTAACAACATGTTTTTGCAACAAAGAAACTTATGCAAATGATATATACAACAGTATTTCTTTACAAATACACAACTACATCTGCTCAATATCATATCACAATATTCAACATTTTTCAACAATTTATCATATATATCAACATGAATAATTTAAACACCCAAAACAACTATCAACTTATCCAAATCACTCCTTGTGAAATGGAAACCTTCACATAAAACAGAATATCAGGAATTATACTACTCCTATCGTGCTCATCCTTATCTCATACGAAAGATAAGAAAATTTCCTACAACTCTTGTGAAAACATTAATTCCTAATTCCAACATCTACTTTGTTAAAAATTCTAAAAACCGCAACAGCTATAAGCAGTGCTGGCAGCTTGACCCCTGTCCACTAAAACAGCCATATCTGGTGTTATAGAACTCTTTTTTGTGTGATTTCGGTGCCATTGTAAAGCTAACATCCAAGGCTACAACTTTCATGAAGACTCTAAGACCAAATTCGGTCATCTAGCCCCACCTCTGCAGTGCTCAACCCAGCGCTTTAGCTGCAACTCTTTGCCAGTTCATTTCCTTTCCACGGGCATGGCTGTGAATCCACGACCATGGCTGCAAGTTTCTGCCACTCCAATTTTTTTCCACAGCTATGGTTGCAAAACCACAGCCATTGCCGCAAATCTCTCCCATCATGTTTTTCCCTCCCACGGCTATGGTTGTGAATCGACGGCTATAGTTGTGGGTTCTTGCAAGTGCATTTTTTTTACTCCACAGCTATAGCTGTGAATCCACGGCTATAGCTGTGGTTTCTGAACTTCTAAAACTCCATGGATTTCACCTTCATTTTCACTCAAATCCTCCATGAACCTGAAATCCCAGGAGACCCAAACCATGCAACAACTCAAATGCACCACTTCCAACCATATGCAACCCAAAAATATCAAGAATCACAACATTCATGCACCAATATTCAAAAGATCATCAAGAACAATCACATGGTTTCAGCTTTACCACATGCAACCAACCCAGCTCAATTAATCAACCCCCAAATCACATCCTAGATGATGATTCAACTACATGCAAGCCAAAATGTATGACAAACTCGAGTTCTACCTTCCCTTACCTCAGAGAAGAAGAATCCGAGCTTCGGGGAAGAAGAAGACAAGCTTTAACACGACTCCAGGTTCTTTCCCAAACTTGAAGCTCTCTAGCACCAAAACCTAGTTTCTCCTCAGCTCAATTTTCAGAGAATAGGAAAGAGAGGAGAAAAGGATTTAGCCTAGCCAAGAAGATGAAATGAAGAGTAGAGAAAGAACAAAGTCGGGGCTTACAACCTCCCCAACAACAAGAATTTTTGTCCCCGTAAATAGACTTACTTGGGAATAAGGAAGGATATTGTTTTATACATTGCTGCTCAACTTCCCAAGTAGCCTCACTAGTAGCTGCATCCCACAAAACCTAGGTGTCAACTTCTTCGCCCTTAACGCCCTTCCCACACCAGAGGTTGGGGTCACCTTCAGAAACACATGTTCCCCTTCAGCAAACTCCAAAGGCTTTCTCCTTTTATCAGCATATGATTTCTGCCTAATCTAAGAAGTCTTCATTCTCTCCTGAATTAACTTTACCTTCTCAGTAGTCTGTAGGATTAACTCTGGCCCCACAACCACTGATTCACCATCTTGATACCAACATAGAGGAGTCCTACACCTCCTACCATATAGGGCTTCAAACTGTGCCATCCCAATACTAGAATGAAAGCTATTGTTGTACGTGAACTCTACCAGTGATCGGACTTCCTCCCAACTCCCCAAGTGGTCTAACACACAAGCCCTCAACAAATCCTCCAAGGACTAAATCGTCCTCTCTGACTGACCATCCGTCTGTGGATGATAAGCAGAACTCAACCTCAACTTCGTGCCTAAGGCTTCATGAGACTCTGCCAAAATCTAGAAGTGAACCTCGGATCTTTGTCTGAAATAATACTGGAAGGCACCCTGTGCAATCGTACTATTTCCCTCACATATAACTGCATAAACTTCTCTAAGGACAACTTGATATTGACAGGTAAGAAATGTGCACACTTGGTCAATCTTTCAACAATCACCCAAATAGCATCACTATTCCTAGCTGACCTAGGCAATCCTACAATGAAATCCATAGTGATACTATCCCACTTCCACTCTGGAATCTCCATCATCTATAACAAACCACCTAGCTTTTGGTGTTCCACCTTTGCTTTTTGACAGGTCAGACAGGCCGCCATATATTCAGCAATGTCTCTCTTCATACCAGACCACCAGAAAGTCATCTTGAGGTCTACTCTTTTGGCCTTCCTCCAAAATAGCTATCTTAAACTTAGAATCACGAGGTAGGCAAATTCTGCCTTTAAACCTCAAAATTCCGTCTCCACCCAATTCAAAACCATCCGCCTTCTCAGTTCCCAACAACCTAAAAATTTTCACCAACTCAGGATCTTACAACTGTTTCAACCCAACTTGCTTCAAGAACTCACTAGCTATGGTAGTCATCCTACAACTAATGTGATCCTGAGCTAACTCCACACAGAGATTCAAAGCCTTGAATTCTTCCACCAGTTCCAACTTTTTTACCATCAAAGCAGACATGTGGATGGATTTCCTACTAAGAGCATTCGCCACTACATTGGCCTTCCCTGGGCGATACATCAACTGAAAGTCATAATCCTTCAAAATTTCCATCCACCGTCTCTGTCTCATGTTCAGCTCCTTCTGATCAAACAAGCACTTCAAAATCTTGTGGTCACTGAAGATGTTGAACCTGGCACCATAAAGATAGTGCCTCCATATCTTCAAGGCAAAAACAACTGCTACCAACTCCAAGTCATGAGTAGGACAATTCCTCTCATGGTTCTTCAGTTGCCTTGAAGCATATGCCACCACTCTCCTGTTCTGCATCAACACACACCCCAATCCCTAGTGAGAAGCATCACAATACACTTTAAAAGGCTCACTAGAATTAGGCAACACCAACACAGGAGAAGTAGTCAACCTTTTCTTTAATTCTTCAAAACGCTGCTCGCATGTATCTGTCTAAATGAAAGGCTGATCCTTTCTAATCAACTGGGTTAGAGGCATTACTATTTTGGAGAATCCCTCAATGAACCTCCTATAGTAACCCGCTAAACACACAAATCTCTAAATTTCTGTGATAGTTCTTGGACGCTCCCATTGCAACACTGGCTCCACCTTAGCCGGATCAACTGCAATCCCCTCTGCTGAAATAACATGGCCTAATAACTTCACCTTTTCCAACTAAAACTCACACTTCGACAACTTGGCATACAATTGTTTCTCCTTGAAAATTTCCAACACCAACCTCAAGTGCTCTCCATGTTCCTCCGGGGTTATTGAATAAATAAGGATGTCATCAATGAACACCACCACAAATTTATCCAAGAAAGGCTAGAAGATTCTGTTCATGTAATCCATGAAAACTGCCGGGGCATTGGTCACTCCAAAAGGCATCACAACATACTCATAGTGACCATACCTAGTCCTGAAAGAAGTCTTAGGTATGTCACCCTCCTCACCCTGATCTGGTGAGATCCTGACCTTAAGTCAATCTTCGAGAATACCGATGCTCCCTTCAATTGATCCATCAAGTCATCTATATGGGGAAATGGATATTTATTCTTAATGGTCAATTTGTTCAACTATCGGTAATCAACACACAGTCGACTACCTCCATCTTTCTTCTTCACCAATAACACGGGAGCACCCCATGGAGATACACTCGGCCTCACCAACTTCTTCTTTAACAACTCTTCCTACTGTATCTTCAATTCAACCAACTCTACTGGGGCCATCCTATAGGGATTGGCCCCGCACTAGGAACCAAATCAATACTGAACTCAATCTCCCTAGTAGGAGGTAACCCAGGCACCTTGTTCGGAAATACCTCTGAAAAATCCTTTACAACTTCTAGGTCAACAATAACCTTCTCGGTACCCACACTCATCGCAACAAGTAGAATACAACACTCTGCTCCATCTCTCATCAACATTTCATCTTGGCTAGCTAAAATCAACAACACATCCTCCACCTGAGGAAAAACCAACTCCCTATTGGCACAATCTATAACGATGTGATTGGCAGACAACCAATCCATCCCTAATATAATGTCAATATCTACTAAAGGCAAACAAATCAAGTTCACCTTATATTTCCTCTCACCCATCTCTAAAGGACAACCAACACACATCTCAAAAGCAACAACAGAAGCAAAAGCGGGCATCAACACAAGCAGTCTCAACCCCAAATCGCATACAGACACACCCAACATTTTAGCACATGCATAAGAAATAAAAGAGTGGGAGGCTCTTGAATCAAACAAAATCATCACATCCTTACTAATAGTTTTACCCTTCCCCTTCATTAGATCAGATGAAGTGGAAGCTTCGGCCCCGGTCAAGGTGAACACCCTCCTAGCTGTAGTAGGTCTATCACCTCTCAGAGCACTCCTAGTCTGTCTAGCCCTAGCAAGACAATTGGTCAACTCGTGACCCATCTGGCCACACTTGAAGCACCTACTCCTGGTATGATGGAAATCCTGAACAAAGTGGGGTCCACCACATATGTAACATCTGAGAGTAGCAACTCTACTCTGACTCCCACCTCTAGCTGTGTCAGTAGGTTTCCTCATGAAAGGACCCCCTTGTTGTGATTGGGGCCTATCATAAGGCTTCCTCTAACCTCTACCTCTCCTGGACCCAACTGGTCCCTCATCAGTCTTCGCCACCCGGTTGCCACCTTCCAATCGCTCAACAACTTTCGCCTTCTCAACTAAGGCTGGAAACTCAATGATGGCCATAGGCATCACCACCATCTTCAACTCCTGCTTCAAACCTTCAACAAACTTTCTTCACTTCTAGGCTTTAGAGATAGCCTGTGAATAAAAATTAGCCAAGTGCTCAAACCTCATCGCATAATCAGACACTGTCAAATTCCTCTGATAAAACCTCATAAACTTTGCCTCCTTGGCATGTCTCACACTCTCTGGGAAATACTTCTCGAGAAACACCCGCTTGAAGCACTCCTACTCAACAACCACTCCTCTGGCAATTAAAATCTGATGAGAGCCCCTCCACCAATACTCAGCTTCCCCTACCAGCATATAAATGGCATAAGCCAACCTCCTTTCTTGAGAACATCCCAACACTGTAAATATTTTCTCCATCTCACAGATCCAATGGTCAGCTACTTCTAGGTCTGCATCACCCTTGAATTGTGGAGGATGGCACTTACGGAACTCAGCCAAGTCTCGGCTCTCCTGTGACCCAACGGTTCTAGCCGCACCAGCTGCAGCTCTCTCAGCATCCATCCTAAAAAAGTAGGCATTCTGTTGTTGCATAGCCATAGCCATCATCTCCATGGCATAGGCTATCTGCTCATTTTCTCTAGTCATCTTCTACAAAAAGTAACAACTCATTTAGCACACTACGTATCAACACAAATCAGCACAACATTCAACACAACACAAAGTCAAACACAACAAAAGCCTAAAGGGACCACCCACACAGAGTGTCCACTAGACTCGAACTGCTCTTATACCACAACAGTGTAACGACCCGTCTGACCGTCACTCTACAGCACATCACCATACAAAGATAAAATATACATACAAAAAGAATATATACATATATCCAGCCTGAGGCTCTACAAGTCAAAGTATATCTAATACTAATAAAATGCTACACTGAGGTAGCCTACAAAAAGTTCAGCTCCAGCCTCCACCTGTGAACACTACTACTACTCTCCAGCCTATCCCTGCTCTGCTCCCATACATAGTATGATCATCGCATAGGTATATATGTAAAAAACCTTGAACTTAACAGCACCATCATCATTCTCAACAGGTTCAGCATACAACACATAAAAACACACAGCTCAATCACAGCTAGACAACACACTGCACATATACAACTCATATCAACATCAAATCAACACAACAACAGCTTATGCGTCGTCACGCATTTCAACTCGAAGATCTCCTATAACATGGGTGAGTAGTTTAAGTGGCTAGGTCCTACCAAACCGACAACAAAGAACCTTTTTGGGCTTGCTAGGTAAACAACAAATTTGGATGCCAATCCACAGAATCGTAACGATTTCTCAGACTTTGCCACTTAAACAAGGAAGTATAGTACTATGTCAGGATAGAACAGCTGGGTTCAGGCCTACCACGACATTAGCTCACTCAACTAAGCCATCTATGGGATTAGCCTACCGACTATCCTCCAAATACTACAACCTTTCTTTACTCAAATTGGCCGCTTATAATCGGTATAGCTCGACCTGGTCCCTATACCGTGGTCATTTTGTACACGTGTGCCTCGACCTTGCCCACACATGGGACCAACTAAGTCCTAGAGGAGAACAACACAACGTCCACTCCAAGGGACAACTTCCCAAGGAGGGTTTTCAACAAATTGGGCTCTCTGAGCACCCCATCTATCTCAATCCACACAATGGGATGAGCAACTTCAAAAACATCTCCCCTAGTCTTAGTGATCAACAACTCATCATCACAGCTTAATCAACTTACAACTCAACAACACAGCTCAGTTTAACAACTTGAACAGCATGATCAATTCAACAGCTTAACAACTTCTCAACAGTGTTTAACAACATGTTTTTGCAACAAAGAAACTTATCCAAATGATATATACAGTATTTCTTTACAAATACACAAACATTTGCTCATCATATCACAATATTCAACATTTTTCAACAATTTATCATATATAACTACAAGAATAATTTAAACACCCAAAACAACTATCAACTTATCCAAATCACTCCTTGTGAAATGTCAACCTTCACATAAAATAGCGTATTAGGAGTTATACTACTCCTATCGTGCTCATCCTTATCTCATACGAAAGATAAGAAGATTTCCTACAACGCTTATGAAAACATCAAGTCCTAATTCCATCATATACTTTGTTAAAAATTCTAAAAACCGCAACAGCTATAATCAATGCAGGCAGCTTGACCCCTGTCCACTAAAACAACCATATCTAGAGTTATACAACTTTCATGAAGACCCTAAGACCAAATTCAGTCATCTATCTCCACCGCTGCAGCGCTAAATCCAACGCTTTAGCTGCAACTCTCTTCCAGTTCATTTCCTTTCCACGGCCAATTCACGGCCATGGCTGCAAGTTTCTGCCAGTCCAATTCTTTTCCACATCTATGGCTGCAAAAACTAAAGCCATGGCTGCAAGTCTCTGCCATCACGTTTTTCCCTCCCACGGCTATGGCTGTGAATCCACGACTATAGCTGTGGGTTCTTGCAAGTGCATTTTTTTACTCCACAGCTATAGTTGTGAATCCATGGCTATAGCTATGGGTTTCTGAACTTCTAAAACTCCATGGATTTCACCTTCGTTTTCATTCAAATCCTCCATAAACCTGCAATCCCAAGAGAACCAAACCATGCAACAACTCAAATGCACCACTACCAACCACATGCAACCCAAAAATATCAAGAATCACAACATGCATGCACCAAGATTCAAAAGATCATCAAGAACAATCACTTGGTTTCAGCTTTACCACATGCAACCCAGCTCAATTAATCAACCCCCAAATCACATCCTAGATGAAGATCCAACTACATGCAAGCCAAAATGTATGACAAACTGGAGTTCTAGCTTCTCTTACCTCGGAGAAGAAGAATCTGAGCTTCAGAGAAGAAGAAGACAAGCTTTCACACGACTCCGGGTTCTTTCCCAAACTTGAAGCTCTTTAACACCAAAACCCAGTTTCTCCTCAGCTCAATCTTCAGAGAATAGGAAAAAGAGGAGAAAAAGATTTAGCCCAGCCAAGAAGATGAAATGAAGAGTAGAGAAAGAACGGAGTTGGGGCTTACACAAGACATCATACCACAGTTCATAACTCAATTCCACATCACATACACAATATAGATAAGCCCACACAAAACAATGGTTCACATACCCCTCAAGCAATTAACCATCAATCCACATCTCATCATTATACATATATGAACTAACTCTACAACCTAATATCATACTACTTTAAACAACTTTTTCATTCACATGATAATACCTTAGAACATCAAAACAACATACGTCTCCCTTTGAATACTATCAAAGAAAACAACAGAGAGTTATACTCATCCAAATAAGCTCAAAACTATCTCAAAAGAAATATAAGAGGATCATCTACAACTCTTATGAAGACATGAAATTCTAAAAGAAAAAAAACATCTACTTAACTAAAAATGTCAAAAACCAAAACTGATTAATCCACACTGACAGTTTGACCCGTGTTCACTAAAACTGCCATATCTAGAGTTATAGATATCCTTTTTGAGCGATTCCAAAGCCATTAAAATTATAACATCCAAAGCTACAACTTTTGTGAAGAACACGAAGCCTGAAAATGTCTTTAAGATCACCTAGGATGGCTGACAACATGAAACTTAATATTTCACACATTGGAATGGAGAATGAACTTATAACTCACATAACTCAATCAATTCTTAACATTTTTACACGATTCCAGAGTTGAAATTATAGCCCCAAGTGACTACTTTCTAACCCAACAAATGAAAATGATTTATTTAATCACACAGAATGATACCACATAAATACTAAGGTATGTCCACAAGGAAAAAGCTTCCAATTACTCATCAATTCATATAATTAAGGGTGTTCATCAATCTACAAGAACCATAACTTATAGAGCACATCCCAATGAATCCAATTATTATCTAGATCATCAATTTTATCGAATAATATAACAACCGCATTTATAAATCAATATAAAACCTTATTGAATCATCAATTTTATAGAATCTTAACTCAAATAGTAAAATCCCCAATTTTTTCAAAACCTAATTCACAAGCACTTTTTTACAATTTTGTTCTCTCTCCCAGATTATCATTTTTACAAATTATTTGTATATTCCTAATCCTCAATATACATTCAAAATTTAATCGGATCATCAATTCCTTAAACAGAAATAATTATAAAATTACTCATATTCCTACAGGTCCTCTACCCAATTCCCTCATGTAACTTTGCATACAAATAATCCTTTTTCCCCGTACGTGATTGTGTTAATCAGAATACTCTTGAAGCAATTTGAGATTGTTCTTGAGCACCTCTTGAGCACTCTTCCTCAAAGCTCTTTGTTTCTCCTCTCTTTCTTTCCTAACCCTTCAGACTATAAATGAGGTAGATAAGATTAACTCTATCTGACCCCTTTCTTAAAATAATTCATTGGGCTGGGTTAACCTAACTCATCTTCCTTCTCTTCCGACCTACTTCTCTTTTCCCCAAAATAATTATATAAAATAATTACATATATTGTATAAAATATTTTTCCTTTATGATAATAATAATAATAATATATTTCTGACAAAAATATAATAATATAATTTCAATATTAAAATATCATATAAAATCAACCTTTTAAATTTTATAATAAAATATAATTTATCAACTCCCAAATTATCTCTTAAAATATATAAATAATTATTAAAAATATTAATAAAAATACTTCTATAATACACATAAAATAGTTATCCAAAACAATAATTATTTAAAATGTACAAAATAATATTCCTCTATAATTATAAAAATAATTCTAACCAAATATCATATAATAATAAT